CCTAGGACCACTGATGTTTTTGATTTTCATCAATGATCTACCACGCCATCTGAGCTGCCCGACTCTCCTGTACGCTGACCACGTAAAAATATGGAGGGCGATAAAGTGTCCGGAGGACTCAGATAGGCTGCAGGAAGATCTAAACCTTCTGGAAGACTGGGCGGTGACCAGTGGCATGACTTTCAACTTGAAAAAGTGCAAAGTAGTGAAGTTGCGCACAACCAATATGCTTATATAAGCATATTGGTTGTAATGATTAGTGTTTCGTGCGGAATAAGTCGAAGCATCGTTATAATGAGGAAGGTGGGGTAGTTGGAGGGCAATGTCATCTACGTAAATAGTTTAATTCATGTAGAAGCTGCAGCTTTCGACATAGTGTCATTCAATGAAGACCACGTCAAGATTTGGCTATTTTCGTGTGAAGAATAGTAATATTTGAGGAAGGAATGCTAAAAGTGCATGAGAACCACCTACATATGCTAACAGAACCTTCTGTGGGCACAGAAGTTACCATGTAGATGTGTCTTTGGACAGGAATTATGGTAAGTTGAAAGGTTATCTCCAAGTAGATTTAATATATATTTACACTGATTGGTGCAGTATAATATGGGTTATGTGAATTCAATGTATAAAAGAAACCTGTATTAATACTGTGCCATTGTTTGCTTAGCTGACTGCTAGGCTAACAAATGTAGGTGGTTCTCGTAATTGTTGCAAGTGCAGTGGATTTGAGAAGGCAATAACTCGTTTAATTTTCCTCATTGTTTCACTTAGTGCAATTACTCATTGTATAGTAATAATATACGAGAATTGAATCTACTTAGTTCTATTATTATTAATCTACCGTCTGACACTGTAAACTTAATACTGCAATGATTTTGATCACCGATAATGGAGATAAATTTCTTCTGAAATTTCCATATACCTGAAGTAGTACAGATGCAGTGTCACGATGGAATGCCTTGACTGCATTATATGACATTATTATCCTCATCAACACAACAGGTGTGCATATCTTACAATATTTCAAGTGTTTCTCTGTGTTGTTAACACTGTGCATAGTTGCTTAGAGTTGAGGCATGTTCAGCTTATATTTGATGACTACAGATTCCTAAATATGAGAATGTAATCTCTGTAGGACTTAGAAAACTATGCTCACTAGACATTACTGAGATTGTGGATCAATTTTTAAGTTACACATTTGCAATACCTCGTTTAACGTAGACGTATTTAGTGTGAAATTGACGAGAGAATGACGTCTCAACAGTATGGATGTTTCAGAGTTTATCTTGAGATTTGCGTGTAATCCTCCAATGCTGGACAACTTATGAAGTCTCTTTATGCATACGGCGTCATTATAAAGACCAGCTATGGACTACAAATACTTTTTATTGCATGAGAACTGTACTTAGTATTAATAGAATCAGTGTATACTAATACATAAAATTATCTTTCATAAATTCGTGTTGTGTTTCATATTTTAGGTGTTTGGAGGTTGTGAAATGTGAAATCAGTGAAAATGTCAATCTGTCAAACTTACGCTAATACCCTTCATCAAAATTTTCTCTTGTAAACTAAGAAAATGTTTAATATACTGTTCATTTCTACTTCTTCTGAACGTCTTCAGTGCATCGCTACACTATGAGCTTTCGTAATATGTGAATTCTGATTATTGCATGTTAAGCTTAGTGGAATGGAGATTTACTATGGTATTGTGAGACTGTTGCTTTAATCATTCATAGGATTTCGCGTCTGTTTCTATACAACAGCACATTGTAAAAACTAAGGATTTAGCAAGTTGAATAATAATTCTGTAATGTTCAATACACTAAAATCGCCTTATTTAGCCAGCTGCGAGTCTCTATACTGCTAAACGCCAAGTATGTAGTACAAATAAATTAAGATTGATAGGTACTTCATTAATCAGTTAATATGCAGTGGCATCATCAAATAGACTGTCTACTTGGTGACGAGCCGAGAGACAATTTTTATTTATTTCTAATATGCTGTTGAATCATGTGACGTCGCTTAATATTCATCATTTCTATGATCAACAACTGCAGTGTTGTTAAGTATGCCGATGATCTAACTGTTTCAGTGTCTGTCAACTCCCAGCTAGACTGTACTAAAATGAACAGCTTTCTATCAGGAATTAGCGAATGGTCTAAACTAAATCCTCACAAATGTCAGGCAGTTAGTTCCAGTTTCCGATGTAAAAGAAAGTTAAATGAACCTGTTAATTCCCATGACGGTTATATAATTGATGATAGTGATATAGAAATCAAGTCTGACGTTAAGTATCTTGGATTAATTCTTTCTTCTGACCAATCCTGGTCTCCCCATGTCTTAGCGATTTCTAAAAGAATATTTCGTCTGACTGTTCACATTAAGAAGTTAAGGCACTCAGGCATAACTCATCCCCTCCTCATACCGTTTGTCAATTCGTGCATCTTACCTATTCTTCTTAACTGTTAACCCTTATTCTTTCCTGGGTTGCTTATAAAAGACTGTCATACTACGTAGAACTCTGAAGAATGTCAGTAGAACGAGTGGTCTCCCTTCGGGCCATATCCTTGCTATCGTCATTGATGATGGGCAGTTGATCTTGGTAGACCGTGAGCATCCACCTTACCTGCGGCTTTCACCTTGTATCTCCTCAGGCAAAACAAAAGGTCATTCCAAAAGACTGTATGCCTGCGCGTCTCAGCATAAAATATCCACGATACACCTGGCACGTATTTTATGCGATGAAAATAGTGTCAGGGACGAACTGGCTAACCGTCTTTGCACTAGTGGATAAACCATTCTCCCCACCCTAATCCCATCAAGCTTTACTGTTATTATTCTTATATTTGTAATCCCTCCTTGAATATTTTTGACTTAATACTGTAAATGTGAACAAATTCCTGTGGTTAATTTATATTTAAAGTAATTCAGATGCAATACTGTGATAAATGCTGGGAATTCCATTCTGTATTGTAAGTACTGTATTTGGGATCTAAGTAGGTTATTATTATTATTATTGGACTTTAGTGACGCCACTTTATCTTACTTGACCTGTTGATATGATTATGAACAATAAATTGTGTTCGAAACGTGATCCAGTAAATAATACTGTTTCACTGTGTGATACATCTAATAAACAAACTAATATGGAATTACTTACTACCACAGTGCCCAAGTTTTACACATATATTAACTTGGCCAGTTCTTCTTACTTTAATCATGATAGTACCGCGTTTCGCAGAACTCATCACACAGCGTATCAGCCTTAAGTGTATACCATATGCAGGTATAATGCTTATGAGCTAGGTATGCATATCAAAGTAAACGTTTGTACGGTGCATTCATTATTTATAAGACTAACTAGTATGTAAGAGCTACGATTTGACCAGTTATACGTTTAATATATTTAGACACAATTAACCTACGCTGCTTACTTCTATGACGCATTACCTAAAGCTGTGTAGTCACCTTAAAGTGGTTTCCGCTGAAGGTAATTTCCTGTAGCTGCTACCTTATTGAATAACATAACGTTATCTTCGAATTTCAAAGTAAAAGCGGACATCCTGAGAACCTTCTTGGTAAAAAGATCGTCTCCTAGTCGAGAAAAATGAATATATCCTAATCTTCACGAAAGAGTTTAAAGGTATTCGTTCTATAACCTCTAATGACTCACTATTTGCAGTCACTTAAAAGTTAGAAAAAAATCTACGTCATAATGTACCATGAAGGAAAACCTATATTCATAGGGTTATAACAGTTAGAAGCTCGATATTAATCCGAAATACGACGACTACGATTCTCAGTCACAGAACATCCTACTTTGCTACGTAATCGTCTAATCATATCAACAGATGTTTCGCCAAGAAAAAGAAGACCACTGGTTCAAGAAAAAATTTATTTAAAATTTACTTAAAAATAATGGGCATCCATATTTATAGACGCGGAGAAATCACAACTTCGAGAAAACCACCGATTGTAGACCCCAACTCGAAACGTTATTTTTGCTAATGTAAGTCTTACCTTTAACTGGGATAGTTCGTACACTCACCAGATCATCATGTTATCCGCTCTTAGGGTCGTTTTGCAACACGCTGAATGGCTGCCAACACTGGCTTTGCTACAGGCGGTCCTAGTTTATGTATTTGGATCTAGTACATTGGGCATTAATAAACGTAGGTGACATTTACCATTTAGGGGTTTCTGATTGCTTTCAAGTTTCTTTCAGCTCCAAAACTGCATACAGGCACAACAGATTCACACTTCTTATGTGGCTCAACTTTGTATGATTTGGATTCGCTGATAATATATCTCATTCTTTAACTGATTACAGACACTGGTGGTATACTCAGCTTCTCGAAAAGCTTCAAAGCTTTTGCAACTTCAAGCCGTGGTTTTTAATTCTCGGTTTAAATGGTTCATCAGAAACCATGCTAATATCAACTCTGATCGTATTCTCTTCACCAGATTCACTCGTAGATTGTTGCTTGGTGTAAATATGAGCACGAAAGACATTGTTTTTTTCAGATTTCTGCATACTAAGTAGCCAATTGTGCCGGAAACAATAACGGCAACCAGCAAATGAATTAAAAACAACAGCTTTTGTTAGCTAAGCATGTTTACACGCATATTTTCCAGAACTTCTACACGGCATTATTTCATTAGTAGATGAAAAACACTGAAACCATGCATGAATGCAAGGTATGAAACAATTATAATGAAATGAATGCACTGACCTATGTGGTAACCCAGCTAACATTTTCTTCGGGCGCATTGCAGACTTTTCGGGGCAAAAAACTTCGGGTAAATCTACTTACGTGGGACACTGTCCCGAAAAGTCTGCTATGCGCCCTAACTTAATATGACTAACTGCGACTTGGGATAACGTGTCTACGGTTCCTCATTTAACTATTAGTCGACAATTAAATCAGAGTTAAATGTATTATGCACACAGGTCGTCTCAAAAAACAATAAACTGGCAGTAGCTCAACGACTCACATTAACAAAAAGCAGCTGATTTTAATTGAAAAAATATATTTAATAATCTTGGCAAAATAATTTACAATCTTCAGATAACTTTCTAAAGTAGAACATCCTACAAATCACCAAGAAAATTCACCCGTGTGCTTTCGGCGTCTGGTAGGTTTTCTTTGTTTTCGCCGACGGTGATCTGAAAATTGAAATTTGGAAAAAAATTAAGACCTACCAATGGGCAAGGCCGTCGCCTTCTAATTCTCGACTTCAGTCTGTCCCGACTGTTATGGAACCAACGTTGAATTGAAGTCGTGATAGCCTTCACTGTGGTACATCGGTCAGCATTACCTAGTTTATGTAAACTGCTAATAGTTCCTAGAGAGACAACAATGAAAAAAAATTCACCTACGTATCACAAGGTTACACGTCTTCGTGTCCTTGAACTTCTTTTTTTCCTTGGTGCCAGCCCATGAAAAATGTGAGCTGTAGTTCGGCTCCAACAAGACATTCATTATGCGACCAACGGAGGTTTGCACGTCCCCGTCAACCAAACTAGAAAGATCCGCCGACACATCCTGACGATATTCGTCTTGGGACAGTTTTGCCTCAAACGATGACATGACGGCGTCGCTGTCTAATTGCCATCTGCCAGAACTCTTTAAAATTTGAACTGAATTGACACACGAGATATTACTGTCAATTCTGTCGACAACGTTGACTTGCGAGAGTTTAGCCTCAAGCTCAGAGAGACGTGACTCCGTTCGTGCCTGGAAGGAACGTAAAGCCTTTATCTCTTTCCAACAACCAGATGTACAAGCACCTGTCTTGTCAGTGCTTGGGCACCTGTAAGTAATATTCTTAAACTATATTGAACTTACATGTCCACGGGAGAGGGAATGTTGGCATTTGATGCTCTCCTTTCAAAAAAGTCTTTAGTCCTCATCAATGTCCGAGGGTCAGTCGGCAGTTCACGAAGATGTGGCCTTAATTCTTCCAGCAAAATACGAGTAGTAGTCATATTCAGCTTGCATCTGTAGACGACGTTGCGAACAGAATCCACTGGAGTGCACTCGGTTTGATCAACTTCCTCTGTTGCAGACAGTTGTTCATTCGGTAAATGCTCATCAAATGACGGTGTAGGTGCCATGCTATTACAAGGAACATCAACCGGAACGATAATTTGTTGGGGAGTAACCATGTTTCCTGCCATTGTTTCAGGTTGTGGTTCACTTGCAAGAATCTTCGCATATGATTCTGTGTACATTAATATGAAAGGACAAGCTTACCTTCTACACGCTTCTTCCAATCCAGATTGTACTTTTTTAGACGCCGATAGTATGTTGACTTATATCGTCTTAAGTCAAAATTGACTAGCGCTGCATCGTCAAAGATTGATTAATAAACCTACGTAGTCTAGAATTCTTCCGACGGTATGGTTCGACATTAGCTGGTGGTCTGCTGTCATTTAGCGTATTATTGATACTTGACGGGGAAATGTTAGAGCTCATGTTACCTGGAAGAAATCGGAAAAACGGATTCCTGCAGTCTACACAACTCATACGCTATGCCTAATAATAAAAATGGCCGGTACTGTTAAAGTCGCAATATAAAACGTATCACTACGCAAGTAATTACTTGGAAAACTTCGTAAAAAAGAAGGGTGACAAACAGGCCGACAACTCACAGCAATGGAAATATAAGTGGTGGATTCCTCCGCTTCGGAGGATTTCAGTGCAGTAAAACATTTCTCAGGTAGCAGCCTTTGGTGATGTATTCAGATAGTGAAAGTACATTTAATTGATTGTTTATATTAAAAGAGTTTATTATTTTAAATTATGTATTATTCACTAATTCAGATTCATTGTAACGCAATTCTAAAAAGTTAACTGTCATTGGTTGAGTAAGTACATCAGGGTTACTCCCATTGGTTGATTTGTAGCCAATAACCGTTCATCAGGTTGCCCCGAAAAGTCTGCAATGCGCCCTAAGTTTTCCTCGGAATCTGCAATGTGCCCTAAGTTTGCCCCAAAAAGTCTGCAATTTGCCCAAAGTTTGCCCCAAAAAGTCTGCAATGCGCCCGAAGTCTGCCCCAAAAAAGTCTGCAATGCGCCCGAAGTCTGCCCCAAAAAAGTCTGCAATGCGCCCGAAGTCTGCCCAAAAAAGTCTGCAATGCGCCCGAAGTCTGCCCCAAAAAAGTCTGCAATGCGCCCGAAGTCTGCCCCAAAAAAGTCTGCAATGCGCCCGAAGTCTGCCCAAAAAAGTCTGCAATGCGCCCGAAGTCTGCCCAAAAAAGTCTGCAATGCGCCCGAAAAAAATGCTGGCTGGGAAAAGCTTTCGAAACAAACGAAATAACTAATTTTGACAGAGTTGGTTGAAACGCAACATTTGTGAACAATATGCATCAAGATAAGTCGTGAATAGCTACAGGATAAACGTAAAATCCAATGTTTAAACGGAATCTGAACGGGTACGGAATTGCAATGCAACATGGGCTGAAATGACCTTTGAGCGTCTCACTCCATCAATCCAATATCGTTTTTACGAGCTAGTATAAACCAATTTGATCTCTTTGTGCTCGCTTCATGATTGTGAGGTATAGGTTGCTGATCTTCGGTAAACTTATGCGTAGCTTATCCCGCCAATCAACGGTCGTAGCTTTGGTTGACTCCAAAGGGAGTAGTGAACGTAACGTAACGTAGGAAACGTAACAACGGTCAGCTCATTAAGTTTGAAGAATAATATATATATCGGTAATAGTAATGATAATAATAGTAGTAATTATAATATTAATAAGTTGTCAGGAGAGTAAGACGGGAGAGAATGTAAAGAAGTAAAATGACGAGTTTAATTATCTACCCTGATTGGTAAATGCGATTTTAAGGAGATAGGCCATTTGGATGCAGTCCTTGTATCGCTGCATGGTTGTCCAGCCTTCGCTTAAAGGCGTCCAAAGACGGTGCCATAGCTACATCTGCCGGTAAGGAATTCCAGGGACGACAAACCCGCAGTGAAAAGAAGTGGGAGCGCACCCGGGTCCTTGCCCTCTGGTGAGCTATCCTTCTGGGATTTCCACGTGGAAGCCTATACCTACTCAATGGCAGAACACCTTTGTTTGGGTGATTCTGGTCATTTGTTATTTTGTAGGCAGTAATCAAATCCCCCCTAAGCCGACGGTAACTAAGTGTGAACAGGCCTAATTTCTTCAGCCTTTCATCATATGGTTTGTTTCGGAGACCAACCACTCCTTTTGTTGCCCGTCGTTGGACTCTTTCCAAGAGGTTGGCATCTCTTCTCAGCATTGGGGGTGCAATAATATTATGCACCTCAAGGTGTGGCCTGACGTATGTTTTGTACAACATTAGAAAGAGCTCAGGAGTGAGTGCACCTAACTGTCTATGCGTAAAGTGTATGACCGCATATGCCCTCGCTACATCCCCTGTGTAATTTACGCTTGTGTCCATTTTTTCCGTTAGAACTAGACCTAAGTCGCGTTCCGACGTTGTGCAGGACAAGCTTTCATTGCACAGGGTGTAACTTGCATTCTGCAGTCTACAGGTGCGCAACTTCACTACTTTGCACTTTTTCAAGTTGAAAGTCATGCCACTGGCCACCGCCCAGTCTTCCAGAAGGTTTAGGTCTTCCTGTAGCCTATCTGAGTCCTCCGGACACTTTATCGCCCTCCATATTTTTACGTCGTCAGCGTACAGGAGAGTCGGGCAGCTCAGACGGCGTGGTAGATCATTGATGAAAATCAAAAACATCAGTGGTCCTAGGATAGAACCCTGCGACACTCCTGATGACGATCTGTGCCAAGATGATCGGACTCGGTTAACCTTAGTGCAAAATTGCCTGTCGGCTAGGTAGTCCTTCAACCATGACAGAAGTGGCTCACCTATGCCTGCCTGGCTTATTTTATGTAGGAGAAGGTCATGGTGAACAGTGTCAAATGCCTTCTCAAAGTCTAGGAAGACCACATGGACTGGTACGTTCAAGTCCCAGCATGATGTCCAGTCGTCCCAAGCTGACAGTAGGTTAGTGACGCAGGATCTGCCTTTTCTGAAACCATGTTGGGCTTCATGTAGTATATTAGTCCTATCGAAATATTCCCTGATGTGGTCGTCAATAATACTTTCCAGTACTTTTGATACCACTGGGAGTAGAGCTACTGGTCTATAGCTAGCAGCGTTTTGCCTGTCCCCACCCTTGAAGATTGGAGAAAGGATGGCTCTTTTCCACTCCCTTGGCAGGGTCCCCGAATCCATTGAGTGTTGGAACAAGTCGCACAGGGGTCTACAGAGAGCCTCGGCGCACTGTTTCAGAACAGATGGCCTGATGTCATCACAACCTGGGGACTTCCCAGGTATGAGTCGCTGTAGCTTCCTTAGTACTATTGCGGGGTTTATTTGGGGAGTAGTCGCTAGGTCTTCCTCCTCTGAAATAGTGGTGCCACCATTTTGGTCCGTAACTGTAATATCCACATTGCTGTTTAGCTGTTTAGCGAAGGCTGAACTGAATGTTTCAGCCATCTCCAGACTAGTGAGATATTGACCGTTTGGGCCTACTAAGGCGCATGCCCCTTGGTTTGTCGGTTTTCTTTCCGACATGAATCGGTACAAGTTTTTAGGGTTTGATAGGAGTTTTTTAGCAAGGTTAGCCTGGAATGACCTTCTGTCCCTCCTGACTCTTGCATTACACCGGTTCCTAAGTTCGAGGTATGCATCATCAATGACCTTTAGAATGGAGATAACTTCATATTGCGATACTGAACTAGAGGTGATTAATTTTGGGGTATTATATGAGATTAAGCCTATCACCAGTGAGACTCATTGATAAATATATGAAGGCAAATGAAAACTCAGTAAGATTACTTAAAATAAATGAAGGGGTATGGGAAGTGAGTTAGTTGTTCCATTTATTCTTTGTAATTGTAATAATATTATCCGCGTTTATCGTAAGAGCAGTTTCTAAGACATCCGCTATCACTAAAAACCGTTGGTGTAGTAATAAGATTAGGGGAATTGGCTAATTAGGAAGGTTATTTTCACTGTCAGTGGCTCAAGCACAAGTTAAGTGTTGCTTTTATACCTCCCTCCAACTACTATCTAGGTGTCATAAGCTCAAATGAAACTGTTTAGTGAATGAGTAGGTAAATAAATAGGTTAATCCGTCGCATCATAACTACACTATTTCGCTGATGACAGCTTATACGGTTGCGCAACACTTTTGTGTTGCAGCAATATGGGTCTACAACAGTAGTGGTGTATATAATTGTAGTGAATAAATATTTCGCTCCAGTACTACTTCTTAGGTATACATCCTCTGGCCTGCTATATTTTTTCATAAACCAAATTTGTGCACCTTTAAAGTCTGGCTTTTGAAGTTAAAAATACACAGCAGTTCATTTATACTTGACATATGTGGATACAGCTGACAATAAGCAAGCAGGATTGATTTAGGAACCCTGGGCAGATATTGCCATGAGTAAAATGAGCGTCGTAATGAACCGAGAAAACACATGAGGCCAAGCATCTCGCAAATTAATTAGCAAGCGCCATTCATGTTTACTTAGAAACTTGCAAATACAAAGCGTTTCTCTGTTGAGGACACCTCACCCGACACTCACTGTAATAGTAATGCCTAACACATACATAATAACAAGCCAGACGTAACATATCATACTACTGCTTGGGTAGGATTCGCCTAGAATTTCATGGACTTAGTGTCATTCAACTCATCTTTGGTGCAATGTTCTCTTCTCTTTATACGTTTAAATAAATAAATAAATTTATTCTCATGGTACAGTATATGAGGGACGCCAGCTTACAGGCATAATCAAATTGTTACAGAAATAGGACCATATTATTCAGTCACAATTTAGAGTCGATAGCAAAATATGTTTTACATGTACGCTGGAGATTATACATACACTTGATAAATGTTAATCCCAATAGTATAAAACATACTTTTCACTTATGTACAATCAATTCTGTGCATAGTTGGAAAAATCTGCTAGATTGTCAGTGAGTGCAACACATTAGGAAACACGTAAGTTATAAGTCACGTCTCGTAAACGGTCAATGCCCAGCTCTTGCTACACTGGGACTCACGCTGTCACTTGAAATATCTCAGAAACGCTTAGTAATAACGGACGAAAAAACCAAAACACCAGTTGTTGACTCGAGGATTCTTTATTGTTACACCAACATATAAATCAAGTATGACTAAGGTCTGTGAACAAATATTACAATAATAAATCACAATATTACTTCTGACGGTGTTTTACTCTTCTTTCTGAACAGCGACCGATGAGACGATGACTGTCGTATTGATGCCTCCGCGAAAATTGGGGAAATTGGTTTTGAGCAAACAACCATGAATTGATCGTTCAATCTTCAACTACATTGACACTCCCCGGTAAAACACAGATGCATTCCCTTACTTCATCACGACCAATACACGTTGACTTGGATGCCATTGCGAGAACCTGGGTCACTCGGACAGAGCTGAAATGGAAAACAAACAGAAAAGCCAACACACCACAAGCATACTCACAGCACAATCTCACACATCAATGACGACCTGCGCCTTCCAGTTAAAGGTGTCCTCTTGACAACTTGCAACACAGTCTCCACTTGCTAGAATGACTCTTGCAGAATGCAACGTGACCATAGCACCACCTCACGATACTCTACGCACATCCTCTTATCTACTCACTACCAATCACCACTGCAATTGCTTGTCACTCATTCTGCCTCAATTCTAGTAACAATGACGTATGCGAGCCTCAATCGTTAACACTC